AAGTTTTCCTCCATTTCTTCATATACATGAAAAACAATTCTTCTTCCATTTCCTTTGACAAATAACCAAACAGCAGCATTGTTTCAGTGTCTGAATGAGGCGTAGCACACGTCACAAACCGGGATCGCTACCGGACTGCCAGTCTGCCTCCCAAAATCGCCCCACTTTAGCATTTATTAAAAAAATAAATAAAAATTTTAAAACAAAATATTTAAGTTTCAGGTCAGAGAATGTTTTGTGCAAGTGCTTCACTAAATAATATTCCAAAATGGTAGCATGAAATAAGTTACCACAACAGTTCTTCTACAACAGAGAACAAACAGAGTCCAAAAGATCCGACTTTTTGGAGGAAACTTCTAAAAAGTGAGTCGCAGCAGTCAGGAGAGTCTCTGTTCGTCCAGAGAAATGTCTTCAGTCCCCCGACTAAGCTTTGATTCAGCATCTCGGCGTTTCTTGATAATTAAAGACGCTCTCGGTAGAACCTCGCCGTTAATGCTTTGTTACGTTCAAAGTGGCCTCCGTTTAAGTGATTGGTCCGTTTCAAAGTGCTGATAGGAGCAGCGCTTGTCTGATCTGTTTAAGTGCAGAGCCTGCGAGTAAATCTCCCCGTGCACAGTGACAGTAAAACAAGTGCCAAAATCGGCCGCTTCCCCCGGCGAGCTGCATTAAAAAAATAAGCAGGAGCGAATCTGATTAGGAGTGAAAGATGGCCGCTAGAGATCATCTTAATAATCTGGCGGTAAACTGCTGTTTGAGGCAACTCAGCACCTCTATGGAAGTCTGAAGTCCCGTGCGACAGCTGAGGATTCAATATTATTAACGTAAAAGCAGATATTATTGACAGAATCCAGTTGATGTCAAATGTTTCCAATTGGATCTTTTCTTTTCAGGCTTTCCTTTCATCAGGACACACTGTGCCAACAGGAATATAGCACTTATTGAGAGTGATTGAACCCTAAGTCAGCATCCATCAGTGCATTTGGCAACGGTCGTCCCCGGTAGCGTAGCTGCTGGCAGAGTGGCCCACTGTCACAGTGCGGAGGCGGGCGCAGGGCCAAAAAGAATGCAGCCAATTCATAAAACTAGCTCGAGTAATAAAACCTGACGGAGATACGAGATATTAAGACAGCTGAGGAAAATGCAGCTGCTGATCAGCATGTAGACATAACCATTAGTAATGACCCGGGCTGCACGCCAACAGGAAACTAAGCAAAAATAAATAAACTCACCACTCCCAGTTTCTCCGCCGCGTTCGCCTTCCACAGCCGGATGTTCATTTCGTCCGAGCCGCTCAGGACGTACTTGCTGTCCGCTGACCACTTCACGCAGATGACGTGTTGCATGCGCCTGGTGTGGTAGACTTCTCTGCAAACACGACCAGAGACATGCTGCACCGTAAGCTTCTAAAAGCCGGACGGGCCAGGTTTGAAAGCGGCGTGCGCGACGAGAACCGACCTGCTGCTTGCCGAGTTTTTGGGGAAGATGCGGATGGTCTTGTCGAAGCTGGCGGAGACAAACTCCCGTCCGGTGGGAGAGTAGTCGACGTCCAGCACGGCGGAGACGTGGTCCACGTGCACTTTGACGGGATTCTCCAGATGCCTCATGTCGTATGTGTACAGACTAGTGAGTCAACAGGAAGCAATGCTAACGTTAGCGTCTCTGGTACGAACCAGGATGTGAAGCTACATTTAAACTACTTGTTTGATGATGAGAGCTGGCAATCAATTTGAAAAGTAGAATGAGATTAATCACCATGCTTATCTCTGCAAGCTTGAAATGTAAAAATTCACACTGTCCTAAAATCGTTTACTGCCTACAAACAGATATCTCGGTTTTCCAAGTAAAGTAATTTTGTTTCAAACGTAATTCAGAAATGTCAGCTGTGAACTGGTTGTACATCGTTGGAAGGGTAATTCATCAAGGCATAAAATACAAACTATATTGGTTTTTTGAACCTCGCTCATCTTTTCACTCGCGTTTGCAACTCTGCACTGCTGACCGCAGTACAAGACCTTGCAAAGCGTGGCAGTGAACTAAGTAACCTTCTGGCTGAAAAGTCAATAAATATAGCTACAAAGCTGCTAAGTTAGCAGCAGTGGAGCAATGATTGTTAACTATGTTCACCACATTTTTGAGAACTTTTCAACAAAACCAGCACCAACCTGAAAAATTCCTGCATCTTTCTTACAATCCTGCCTTAACAGAGCCATTCATTTCCATTGAATCAGACTTTTTATCTCAAATTAAAGGATAGGAAATGATTTAAAAGGATCTGCATCCTTTTAAATTCACTATTTTTTTCAATATTTTTCAACAATTACACAAACCAGAAGCTGTTGAAAGAATAAACGAAATGCGTTTCGCTCTTAGACTCACTTGTAGTCTTCATTTGCACAAGTGAAGTAATAAGCTTCCATTGGGTTCCAGCTGATCGTGTTGGTCCTCATTGTCATGATCACCTGAAGGAGAAGCAGAATTTTTCAATGTGAACTTCAAAGAAGAAGGAGAAGACAGAAGAATAAAGACCCACCTTTTTAAGAGGTGTTGATTCCCTCATGTCATATAAAACTATACTTCTGTCAGAGGCACAGCTTCCAAGGAGATCTGTCTGTGAAGAGGAAAATGATCCAACTGGACTAAATCAGCAGGTTTCATATACAACAGGTGCGGTTCCAAAATGTTGTCATTTACGTCTCACCTCCACAGGGTTAAAACGGACGGAGCTGAAGCTGTCGACACCCCAGCTGAAGGAGCGGATGGGGGTGCTCCTCTGCTCGTCCCAGATGTCCACCTGGTGGCCGCATGTTGCAAACACAGCGTTCTTCTGGTGATGGTCCAGTCCCGTGAACACGGTCTAAGGACGGATGCGTCTCTTTGAGCAAAAAACCGTGAAGCACGACAAATGAGTCCTGATGAATAAAATCAAAGAGGCGTTACCTTGCCAAGGACGGTGTTGAGAGGCTCCTCCTCCTCTCCGTAGCCCGGCGCTTCCATTTTCCACTGTTTTATGGTTTTGTCATCTCCGATCTGTTACAATCAAGGATAGGTTTGAATATAAAGGGGAGTTAAAGTTGCAGTTCACTGGTCGATCATCCATCTTTTGAAAAAGACTCATTTGTTCATTTCAATTTTGGCAAATACAGATTTTTTTTTGTCTTGGAAAACAAAACAAACAATAAAAAAACGCAAAATATAGTAAGTCAGTCAGACCTCTCTCTCACGACAAAGCAAAAGATGACAGTGGCTGATTTTCAGACATTTGCGTTTGAGATAAGGTCAGTGGATGAGAACATGTACCAAGCGATTGACTCATGCTAGCGTCAGTCGCTTGGGGCCGATTTATTGGTGCAACTAAGCCTGGAAAAGTCACAGATTTTGCTGCATGATAAATTGCCGTAGAATCTTTTACAAACGACAACGTCGTTGTTTTGAAACCATTTTCAAGTATTACTATGGCAGTAGCCCAACAGTGCAAGAGCACATTCTCAGAGATCATTCAATTCTTACGAGCATTTTACACTGGATGACATTTTAAAAGTCCAAAAATGAATAAAGCCACCGAAACGACAAATGAAATTAGTCATGAAGTCTCTGCCAACAAAATGATCCTTCAAAAAAAAAAAAAAGGAGAGGTTAGTTGTCAGACTCTAGACTTTAGTCATCCAATTTTTGGTGTGAAGAGAGAAGAAGAAAAAAGATAAATCTGATAAACTCATGCAAATGGAAATTATTGAGCCGATTTTGATTAATTATGCGATTAATTGGGTTATTGTGACAGGCCAGGCCACACAGAGTTCTCTGTGAGATGACTGAAAAAAACAAACAAAACGTGAAGACGATTAAGTCGACCGCTTACCGTGAAGAAGGAGGTACCGCAGTGTCTGACGACCATTCCCCGGACGAACCCTTCGTGGGCCTGGAGAGTGCGTACGCACTCGTGTTTGGTAAGATTCCACACTTTGACCTACAAACACAACATTTTCTTAAATATACAGAGATTAAAACCCGTTAGCTGTTAGCTCAAAGGACGGCTGACCTCTCCATCGCAGGAGCCAGAGAGCAGGGTGGAGAGACTCCGGGGGTGCTTGGCCAGGCAGTTCACCCCGTCTCTGTGTCCGTCCAGGGAGGCCAGGAAAGGCTTGGCGAACACGCGCTCCAACTTTGTGGCGTTCAGGGCCCGCGTGTACTCTCGGCTCACCTCGAAGGGATGCAGGGAGGGGTCGTAGTTCCTGGGGACTGAGTCAAAGGCTGTTACTGCAAGTCGCCTCGCAGAAGAACTCACAACCTTAAACTATTTACATTTAAATATATATATATAACAATAATAAAGAAAATGGATGTCATGTGTTTTGTACTCGTTTTGTCTACTCATTTAATTCCAATGTTTATGCTAGCCATTAGCCTATGGAAGCTAGCAGTCACACGCTCACCTCGCTGAATGTCGTGTTTAGTTTCCCGGACGTAATCATCCGGGTTTCTTGAAAGGATCTTGACCTTCATTTGGGTTCAGAGCCAAGAGCAACGCCAGCACAAAAGAGTGTTTAATAATAATATCCTAATGTTCGTGCAAAAAAAAAAAAGACTAATCGACATGTGTTGATAGTGAAGAAGTGGCTTGGTCCGCTCGCGTTGCATTGTGGGACATCCGCGCCTGTTGATCGCGTCACTGAAAGAAACAATAGTCAAGTTAGATATTTTAGAAAGAGGACGAACCGGAAATAATACCGAAAAGTTGTACTTTTACAGAATTTAGTGCCAAGTAGGAGCACACGAGACTGAGAGAGTAGATAGATAGATAGATAGATAGATAGATAGATAGATAGATAGATAGATAGATAGATAGATAGATAGATAGATAGATAGATAGATAGATAGATAGATAGATAGATAGATAGATGGGAGGGTGAAGGCTGGGACTCGAACCTGTGACGGCCGCGTTATGAGGAGTGAGGCCTTGATTCGAATTATTTTGAAAGGTCGCGTCCCGGAAGTGCAACTCTGAGGAATACGACTTGACATTTATCTAATCGGTTCCTCGCAAACAAGGTCGAGGCGGAGGAGAGCGAGACTTGACGTTTATCGGTAGCAATGAGTTTCGCCGCGTGTTCGGCCGCCGACGTGCCGTGAATTTCCGGTCGGTTTCCTCGTGTCTGTGCCATAACCTAAATGTTGTCGCGGAGTCAGCCAGCCGCCTCGCTTCCACAGAGTTAGTTTTGGGTCTTGTTCGGAGCTCAGCCAGCCGAGTTCGGTCACCTGCTGAGGATGGGCTCCGCGCCGGATCACCGTGACCCCACAGAGACGCCGGCGCTGCCCAGAAGACACGTCTCCGCGGTCTCCGTCGCCGGACACGTTCAGCAGGTCTTCAGCCACGTGAAAGTGGAAAACCTGGTGGCGGGACTGAGCGGCGGCGTGGTGTCCACTCTGGTGCTTCACCCACTGGACCTGGTGAAGATCAGGTTTGCAGGTACAGCGTGAGGATCGGCTTTTCTGGGTGTATATATGTATATGGATTTTTTTTTTTTTGAATGCCTTCGCTAAGTTGTGAACGTCTCTTCCAATGCAGTGAGTGATGGACTGGAGTTGAGGCCCAAGTACAGCGGCATTCTTCACTGCATGAAGAGCGTGTGGCATCAGGAGGGAGTGAGGGGTCTGTACCAAGGGGTGACGCCCAACATCTGGGGCGCAGGCTTGTCCTGGGGTCTCTACTTCTTCTTGTATGTAAAAAATAAATAAATAAAACCCTGCATCAGGTCGATTTCACCAGCAACAGTGGCATTCAGAAATCAGTTGATGTGAGTTCTCCCTGTTTCTTTGCAGCTACAATGCAATCAAAGGCTCCACTAAGGAGGGCCGTGAGGCTGAGCTGAGCCCAGCAGAGCACCTGCTTTCGGCGGCTGAAGCAGGTCAGAACCGACCTCACAGCTCAGAGCTGGATGCAGCTGACACGGGGCATGTGGAAATGACCTCACCCCCGTTATATTTACTAAGGAGGTCACATCGGTTTGTTTGTCGTTTTCTTGATAAATTTAGACCGGCTCATAAAATCGAAGCTGCGACACAATATTTCTGTTTAAGATCCAGGTAGGATAAGGACATCAATACGAGCTCCGAATCACTCCAGTAACATATGATGCTAAGAAACTGAATGCAAATCCACCCGCATCTGCAAAACAATCAATCAAAATGGGAAAAAATTGCGACAAAATGCTGTACTTATTCCAGATGTTATTACTTCATTTGATTTATTTAATTTTTTTTTGCAAGACAGTTCAAGTTGATTACTATAAACAGAATAAAAAATAGCATTGAGAACAAGGTACTGATCAGTTGCAGCCAGACCTGGCAGAACATTAAAACGGTGTGTGTGTGTGTGTGTGTGTGTGTGTGTGAGAACTTGAGAAGCTCTAGCTGACCTTTAGAGTCTTTTTTTTCCCCCGCTTCTTCTTCTCAGGCATCCTCACTCTCACCATAACCAACCCGATCTGGGTCACCAAGACCCGACTGGTTCTGCAGTACAGCGCCGACCCCAGCAGTAAGCAGTACAAGGGGATGGTGGACGCCCTGGTGAAGATCTACCGCCACGAGGGCCTGCCAGGACTTTACAAAGTGAGACGTCTTTTGTGGACTTCCATGCGAGACATAATAAGTGTGTCTGATGATTATAGATGCTAGATTTTTGTGCCATGAAAGAAAAAAGTAAAAGCCCAACAGGAAAGTTATAATTGCGAGGTTTGTAGTCATAATTATGAGGTTTAAAGGTGTAATTATGAGTTTTAACGTCAACATTTGAGGGTGAGTCATTGTTATTGGAGTAAAAGCCATAATTTCACGTTTCAGTCATAATTATTAGATCCAGTCAAAATTATGAATCTTAATTTTAACTTTCGAAGTCATAGTTTTGGTTTTAGTCGTAATTTTGAGGACAAAAGTAATAATTTTGACTTTAAAAGTAATAATTATGAGATGCAGTCCACAATTTTAACTTTCCAAATCGTAATACACTCAATTTTATTCGGCGTCTCATAATCATGACTATAAACTAGACAGTCAAAATTACGACTTTGTTTTTATCTGAAAAAAGTGCTGACTTTATATCTCATAACAAGTCGGCCTTTAAAAATCGGAATTGTAACTTCCTGTTGAGCTTTTAGCTTCCATGCTTTCCTGCCGTCACTTCAGCAGAAAACAGTCATCCCCCACTAGGGGGCGTCGTTGCTCTTCATCATGCTTCCAGCTGAAGTAAAGTGCAGTTGTGCCCTGCAGGGTTACGTTCCGGGTCTGTTCGGTACGTCTCACGGAGCCCTGCAGTTCATGGCCTACGAAGAGCTCAAGAGAGACTACAACAAATACAAGAAGGTGCCTTCAGACGCAAAGTTGGTGAGTTTCAAACTCGGGGCTACGCTGGATGAAGTCATCACTCCCTTCTTCCTGCTCACCCTCCTCTCTGTGGTTCTCTTATGAGCAGAATGCTCTGGAATACATCACAATGGCAGCGCTGTCCAAAGTATTCGCCGTCGCCACGACGTACCCGTATCAGGTGGTGAGAGCGCGGCTCCAAGACCAGCACAACAGATACGGCGGGGTCGTAGATGTCATCGGACGGACGTGGAGGTACGGACGCCGACCTGCTGGGACCGGTCGATTGGACCCGGCTCCCTTTTCACGCTCGCTCTTCCCTCTGCAGAAACGAAGGAGCTTCGGGCTTCTACAAAGGCATCGTCCCAAATTTGATCCGCGTCACGCCGGCCTGCTGCATCACTTTTGTGGTTTATGAGAACGTGTCCCGCTTCCTTCTGGGGACAAAATGAGAGAGACAGTGAGAACCCAGCATGGACAGCCACACGGGGCACCAAGCTCCGGCTGAACCGTTGGAGGCGAAGAGGGGAGCGTGTTTCCCCAGAGGCTTTCCTTAAGTACGTGAAGATGTGTAGAAGTGAGAAAAAAGTCAAAGCAGCAAAACAACTAACTCCTTTCCGGTCAAACATATAGAGGCGCATTGGGGCCACTGAAGTAAAAAGATTCTGACTTTAATCTCATAACTTTGGCTTTTTTTTCTTAGAATGTTGGGGGGGGGGGGGGGGAGTTTTCTTGGAATTTGGATTTTTATTTATTTATTTATTTATTCTTTCCCAGAATTTTGACTTTTTTTCTCTAATTTCTGACTTTTGATTTTAGAAGATTGAAGTCAAAATTCTGAGGAAAAGAAATCTGAATTGTGAGAACAAAGTGAAAATTTAGACTTTTGATCTCAGAAGATTAAAGCCAGAATTCTAAAAAAAAAAGTTCAGATTTTTTTAGAGAAAAGTCAAAATCCTGAGATTGAATCCTGAATTCTGAGGAGAAAAAAAAACACGTAAATTTTTTTTCAGTGGCCTCAATCCTAAAAGCATGATGGGAACACGTGTCTGATTTAAGCGCACAGTTGGCTCGTGGGGATGACTTGTTTCAGTTTGTCCCTTTGGAAACGGTATAAATGTGACATGGCGACTACTTTGTCAAACGTGGGCGGCGTGTTGTAACGATCTGTGGTGAATTCAGCATTCTCCCACAGAGGAAGGTTTGTTTACGTTTTCTGGCAACAGAAAGATGAAAAACAGTCTATTTAAAACTTGATGATCAGCATCAAAATCTCAGGACTGCAGTTTTATCTTTATTATTAATTATCAATGTGTGAACTGCAGCATTGATTATGCTTTTTTTTTCCCCCCTCATTACACAAACTAAGTGTATTGTTTTATGACATTTTGCTATGAAATGTGAAGCGCTTTATTAGCGTGTGAACACAATAAATGTTTTATTTTTGACCTATTTAATTGCAGGGTGTGTTCTTTGGTTCCAATGGGTAATTCCACACTTTTCCAGGCTGCCATTTTTCTGACTCCCCAACCTCTATGAAGACTGTTAAATGTTTAATATTACAGTGCATTTTATCAGGCATTGCATTTGAAACCTGTAAAAATAAGTGATTTTTGTGCAGCTTTAGACCACTATTCAAGAATGGCACACGCTTTTGTGCCAATCTGCTTCTATATGGTTTATAATATACAACGTATAAATGTCACAGTAAAATTTTCACTGCCTTTCCAAAAAAAAAGCTAAGAATTACAATCCTCTAAAAGTGGAAGGCACAAAATAAAGTCATCATTTTTTTAAGCAACCATGTTTTTCCCTTGTTGAATTTAATTTTATGCGTGTTTGGTTCACAAACCTTCATGCTGCAGCATTTTTTTAGTGCAGCCATCGTCATGAGACGTTGATGAAGACTTGAAGACAGAAACGCTGAGGAAGTAAGTAAAGCTGAAGATTGAAGAAAAAAAAAATTAAGAAAACAGGCGCACAGGGAGCCTGGGGAGGACAAAAAAAAAACCTCAGGAATCACTGACCAACAGGGAAACAAGGAAGAGAATAATGAGAGAAGCCAACAAGGAGTGACAGAATGAGATACATATTTACTGCAAGAGGTTGATTATTGAACAAGGAACAAGAAAACATTTAGCAAAATTGTGAAATTTGAGAATAAATCTAAATTTTTTTAAGTTTTCAGCTGGAAAGTTCTGGCCTATGTCATAAAAAAGAAAAAAGATGGCCGCTAAAAACAATGGATAAACAGATGGGTGGGTTAATAATAGACGAACTGACAGATGAACGATGTTGATTTATGCATAAATCGAAAGACGCGACGTTGGATGAAGTGTTGGAGAAAAGGAAAAAAAATTTAGGGATGAATTGAAAAACGAATGGACACGGGACATTTTCTGTAAAACACAAATATCAAAACCTGGAAATCCCACGTCTTTTCCACTTACTTCCTCCAGGAAAAGAAGTCGAGTCTTTAGAAAAAGATGACTTTATTGACAGAAACGATTCACACACACGTCACACAGTACATTTGAATGGTTACTGTAATCAATTACCAGGCCACCAGCAGACCAAAAAAAAAATTCAAAACAAACCACAATACAGAATTTACTCCAAGGAGGCAGAGCGTCAGAATTTTTTGTACATGTAATTAAACAGAACAGCAAAAACAAACAAAAAAAAACATTCAAGGTACCATCAGAGACTCTGTCACGCCTCAACCGGTCGTATCCGGTTATTTCCGGCGTGTCAGGCGACTGATTCCTACACTACAAAGACCGGGTCCTCCCTTTCATATCTCTGTCTTCTCATTTAGGCAGTTCCTCTATGATAATCCTGGACACGGAATTCCACCCCGTGGAAGCGTCCCCCCGGGGATAATCGGCGCAGGTCCCCACCCACACCGCCACGTCCACCAACCCCGCCTTGACGCCCTCGCACAGCCCCTCCACTGCAAAAGGAAAACAAGAGCAGAGGTCAGAGGTGAGGAACTCGGTTCTTTTGTCTTTAGCAAAAGCACATGGCTTCAGTTGTTTCACGTCTGAAATCCTGAATTTGTTTCCTTGTGAAGCTGAGAGGAAGCCTGCTCAGCAGCAGCTGGGCACACGGGGGATTACCTGGGGCGTGCTTCTCAGCGAGCCTCAGCCAGATCAAAAAGCTAAAAACACGCCTCTGTTGTTTTCTGTTGCTGGTTTGGGCCGAGCAAAAACACTGACACACAGGTACGTCTGGTCTGTTTGCCAAAAACACCGGGAAGAGGAATTGTCATGGTTGATAAAATGTGTCGTGTCTGTCTGAATAATAGGAACAGACAATCCCGGCGTGGTGAGGCTTCCGAACTCACTCTGCGGTGCGATCCGCCGGATCCGATTCAGAAACAATATTTTAGTCCTTTTTGTATTTGTTCAGGGTTTTTTTTTTCTTTTCAGAGTTCACTTCAGAGTTCTCCCTTACCTGAGGATGTTCTGTGGATGTTGATGGTGGAGTTGAGCTCCGGACTCCCCTGGTCCAAGTAGATGATTGACTCCACCGGCAGGGGCCCCGTGCACTCGGCCCCGTTGAAGGTGAAGTACCACCGCTGGCAGCAGGCGTTCTTGCACTTGAGTCGCAGGGAGCCGCTGAAGAGGACTCTGAGAGCGCTGTCCGAGCGCAGCTTGGTGAACGTGCAGTCCTTAGACACGGCGACAAACAGATTCTGAGTGAATATATATAAATATATTTTTGTCAACGGGGACAGAGAATCCGGTTGGGGTTGATGGGAAGGCGGATGGAGGTAAATGCAGCACGATCCTGCGAGAAAACCCGACTGCGTCGACGTGGAGACGGCAGCGGAGAGGTCAGCAGAGAGGTCACCTTCCAACTGGAGCTGGAAGGATTCGGATCAAAGCGCATCGACGCGCTGCAATTTCCCAAAGCCCACACATAAACCCGCATTTTCTGCGTACAGATTCAGAAAGCGACATCAACACACGATCTCGATCCGAACCTGACCGAGCTTGAGTTAATTTTTTTTTACGAGAAGAAATGGGAGTTTCCAGATTGCGTGAAGCCGGTGAAGACAAATCCCAGAAAAGCCTGGAGCTGCATTTCATGTGTCTCATAAAACACCAATAAACTACATTAAAGCTTGCGGTTCCTTGAGGTGAAACTGCGAGCCCTTTGAGGTCTTGTGCGAAATTCTGCTCGCCTGTGAAAATCTGCTCCTACTGCGTCGGGAGCGCGCCTGGCAATCAGAGGCGGATCTGACCGTTTTCACGGCTCCTCTGATCGATTCCTTCTTTAAAGCAACTCACACAATCATGTCAAGGTGTGTGCGCGTGTATCTATTTGTTTCCAAAGACTTTTAGGTAATTTGTTCCCATTTTATGGAGGGGGTACGGATTATTTCAGGCAGCTGAAATATCCATACTCTCCTCTCCCCAGAACTTTGGGAAAGAAGCAGAAACTGTTTCTGAATTCTCAAAAAATGTTATGTGTGGAAACATGTAATATGCTAGAAATTTCCTGAATCCAGTAATCTGTCATATTTTACATAAGAATGAGATTTACCAGAAAGTCTGCACTCTCATCTTTTCAGGAGGTCAAGTTTGTGCCCTTCGATCAGCCAGCTTACATCCTTACATACCAGAAATGAAAAATTATAAATACACACTACATGTTGGAAAACTGCTTGGTGACTGACTTTTTTTTTTTTTTTGTCAGGCTTAAGTGATAAAAGTTGGAAAAAGACAGATTCTCTTGGTGTTTGAAATAATGGAAGAAGACCTCGTTTATTTAATTATTTCACAATTCTGTGCACAACAGCAGCTGATTAAAGTCAATGTTACAACCTGGACATGATTGTGTGAGTTGCTTTTACCGAGGAATCGATCGGAGTTGCTGTGAAAATGGTCAGATCCGCCTCTCTGGCTGCAAGGCGCGCTCCCGATTTTCACAGGCGAGCAGAATTTCGCACAAGTCCAGAAGTGCTGTGCGAATTCATAACACAGATTCTGCTCCGGCGGCAATACTCACCGCCACTTTACCCAGGTCGATCCCATAATTCAGTGCGTTCCAGGCGCACTGCTTGTAGTTGGGCCTCCAGGGCTCCTCAAAAATCTCACTCACGCATTCCCCTTTTTCACCTTTGAGCCCGTCACGGCCCGGGATACCTGGCGTGCCTGGAATGCCGTTGGCTCCGGGATTACCGTCTCTTCCGGGGGTTCCTGCTGGGCCTTGCATGCAGCTGCCATACTGGAGAAAAGAGAAAAAAAACAACCAAAAAACAACAGTCAGGGAGAGAGCAGCCACAAGTGCCAAGAAGGACAGCTGAATCTCGGGCAAATGGAGTTCCTGATTCAGTCTTCCCTTTACTGCTGCCTTCGCGCGAGCTGAATCCATGTTTAGGAAACATGCACGTAAATGAGGCAAGATTATACCTCATTTACAAGTCACGTAAACAAAATCCGATGCCAGTCGGGGTGCGGTGAAAAAAAATAAAATAAAACAGATGTCTGGAACCGACAGACATCAAGCCACCGAGCTAATGAATGATATATCGTGCGTAAATCAGGAACTGCGGGCCTTGGGAGGTTGTTCTAAATCAGTAGGCGTGTGATTCATTGTCCTGCTCGGTTTTTGTCTGCTATCTTTAGGCAGATGCTGCAACACACTCAGGCTGACTCAGGCTCACTCAAAGTCAGCAAAGAGCTCGCCAAAACAGCGACCGCACACAAACACCGACACAATGGAGGAGCCAAACGAGCGAGACGGCACACGCTCCTCCAACAGAAATAGCAAGAGATTGCGGCGCAAAGGTTTTGAAAATTGGTTTGTTTTTGCGGGGGGAGGTTGCGGGGGCGATGGGGGAGGCAGCAGAAGGGTTTACATTTAGGTTATTTGTAGGTGCTCTCTCTCAGGCAGGATGAACTGACATGTGGGACGTGCATCCTTGACCTCAGGCAATCAGTGGACTGCAGCAGCTGGGTTTGCTGCCCTTTTTACTCAGCATGCAGCTGTGGAACAGCAATGGAGCCAAAAGACATTAAGTTGGGGGGATGGAGGAGGGGTAAATCAAGACGTAGGGGTGGAGAACAAAGAGCTTTTACTTCGGTTTCAACATCTTGCCCTGACTTGGGTCTCAGAGGTAAATTCTCAACCAAAAAGAAAAAAGTGTTTCAGACTTCCTAATCTAGAAAAAAAAAACAAAACTAAAACTAGGAGAAAATGCAGATTTCCTATAAGTCTGTTCCTGCCATTAAGCTGCGAAAGGCTTTGGCTCCCAGGAGATACGAGACTTTACGTCATCTCCAGAGGAACGAGGGGGAAACGATGAAATTAGAAGGTTCTCGTTGGCACTGCGTGTGCCGAAAGAACGCTGGAGTCCTTTCAGGAAAAACGGGACCAGATACTTCCAGGCATCCTGGGGTTATTGGTGACGGCGTCTGGGAGTGATCAGAGAAAAGCGGCGTATTCACAGGGTGGAAATGTCTGCGGAGTTTATTAGAGGTTCCTTTTCTGGAGGGCTTTCAAAAGCAGACAAATGAATGGAAACTCTGTCCGCCCTGCAGTACAGCTGACTTTTATATTAGCTGCCTGCAGCCCGCCTGCCTATTTACACTAGGGCCATATTGTACATAGGATAGACTGTTCCTGTACCTGGGTGCATGCTATGTGCATTAATTCGGAAACATTGGAGGTACTGCCTGCATTTCATGCGTTAGTTCACACCAAAGCACAAGCAAAAGCTTTTCAGGAACATGCAGCATTTGGTTCGGGAGGTTTCTGATTCGACGGGGGCTCAGGCGCAAAGAGCTGGATTTAAAGATTACCATGCTGCTCTGACAAGGAGATCGTCCCTCGTCCGAGGAGAGTCTAGTGCAGTTGGGGTTGTCTGCATCGTTTCCTGTGCACTAGATACAGAGCGTCACAAAATAAGGACTTTGCTACAGTGCGAAAAAAAGAATCTTGAGCGAATCTTAAATATTAGTCATAGGGACGTAAACATCGGACTGAAGCATGTTCATTTGTGAAGGTGACGCTCAGTATTGGTTAAACTGTAACATTTCTGATTTCGGTGCCTAAACATTTCGACTGGTGGTTTATCGTCTGTGGTGTAACTGATGTGTTTGGATTATGAATGAATATATCAAATTACTAATACAAGGAAGTGGCGTGAGACAAGGGATCAAAATGAGTTTGTCTTCAATTTTTAGCAACAGCGCTAAAGCTGAATCCAATGCTAATGCTAAAACTAAGGTCGGGTCAAGCCGCTTCATTTCGAAGTGTCTCACTTGCGAACACACCTAATTAAAAATACTGAAACTCGGCTGTCTTTTAATTTCAGTGGGGTTCCCACCGCATCCTCTTTTTCTTGCCTTTTTTATGATTTTTTTAATGGCCCCCTTTTCACAAGCCCCTAGAAGAATTTCTGGATCTGCCCCTGTTCAAAAAAAAAATTAAAAAAATCTGAAAATCTATCCATCAAAAAGTCATGCATACAGGACTTTTAACAGTTTGCTGGAGGCTTAAACTACATTAACCACTTGGAGGCTCAGTATGTTCACTCCTGGGAGCAAAGGGACAGGAGTGTGGGGGCCCCGCTAGTTCTAAGGAAGCCTACCTAAAATAAACACAAGTTTTATTTATGAAACCCATAGGCAGTAAATGTACTCAAATATCCTGTGGATGACGATCATTAAAATTAATCAACTGGAGAACTGTTAACTTTGAAAAAAAAAACCCAGAAAAAACAGCTCATACCTATAAAAAGTTATTTTCAACCGGAAAAAAAAAATGGGAACACAAACAACAAAGCCAGACAGCATGAGCCAGACCCCAATTTCCTGTTTTTTTTTTTTTTTTTTTTTTAACAGCCCACTCGGTCTTGGGTCGGTTTAACGCGCCTCGCCTTCCAACAAGTGAATTAACTAATAAAATACCGAATCATCCCGAGTTGATCAAAAGGCATCTAAACCAGCGTTAAGCAGCACAATAACAACAATAATAATAATAAAAGGCAGGAGTGAGACTCATGTGAACATGCAAAACCAAAATCAATGACAGTCCCACGAGACGCGTCCCACCTTGTCAACGTCCGGCTCCTTTCTGTATCCTCGACTCTTCACCTTCTCCAGCCCGCAGAGAGGCAGAGCCAGACACAGGAGGACGAGCAGGCGGCTCGCCAGAGGAGACATCCTGCCGGTGGGGACGGCTGAGTCCGTGTGCCGCTGCGCGAGGGAGCGACGCGAAGGCGACGGTCTGTCCCTGAGCGGGGGAGGCCGGAGGAGGGCAGGGACTCCTCGACCGGGGGGGTCTGGGGGGGGAAGGAACCAGTCACCGCGCAGAGACGGAGCTAAAGAAAACATTCCCGGGTGAGGTGGAGGGGGCACTATGTCAAAATCTTGAGTGAGTGTTGGTGGGGGAAAAAAAAAAAAAAAAAAATCAGAGCTCACAAGAGAGCCCCAGTAAAGTGTAAGCAAAAAGAGATAAAAACATGCTTTTGGAATCTTTTTCTTATTTATTTTTAGAAATGAGTTCAAATCTTAGTAGGGTATTTATATCTGATTTGCATATCTTAAGTTTTTCTATTCTTTGCAATAAATAAATAAATAATCAGGTGACTTCTAACATAAATTGGTTGCACAGACTCTTACTTGAAGGTATCAGAGTAAAAATAGCTGAACACCACATTCCATATTATGACATTCTTTTCCTTCCGATTTCCAATTATTGGCTGAAGTACATATTTTTATTTAAAAAAAAACAAAGCAAAAAAAGTCTCAATAAAACACAGTGAATCACACAATATGGAAAACAATTGTACGTGTTTTTATTCAAAACATCACAGTAATCCGAGCTTACAAACTACAAAAGGTACAAAAATTGACTGAGGAAACAGCAAAAAAAGAAAAAAGAATATTTGACAGACTACACAAGGCACATCATTAACTAAACTGATAATAAGGCGACAGAAATACAAAACAACACATTCATTTACACGGTTTCCCTTTTAATTTGTGACTCTGGAAATGTCTTAACTCCCACAGTTAAAAAAAATAAAATAAAATAAAAATCGACTCAAAAGATCATGCAGCATTAAAGACGCAATGCATTGCCATATAATTCACTTAAAGCGTGCAAAAACAACTTTAGATCATTTAAACGTGTTTTAAATGTTATGAATACTCCTCACAGCTCGAGCCAGCCCAAAGGTTAAGCAGAATTCGAGGCAACATATCGCCCCCTGCTGGCCTGGAGGTCCCAAGAGAATTAACACAGGACAGGTCACAGGGCTCTTCGCACCTGCCGCGCTGACGTCACAATCTCATGCGCAAAATGCGGCTCTCTTTTTTCCTCTTGAGGTGCAAAGAGCCCAATGCACCAGTTGTATAGATATTAAGGAAAACCTTCACAATTTGAAGATTACAATAACAGAGTCACATTTTGAAGAAAAGCCAGGCCTGCTCACACTTATATCGACACATTACTGCTTGTATTTATTTGTTATTCAGTAATTTGTGGTTTGTTTTTCTAATACCACGTAGTGCAAAAAGGCCTGCTTGATTATGTTTGGATTATTTCCCAAAAGTGATTTAACCCAGTCCAGTTGATATGTTTTTAAAGACAACAGTGTACAAAAATGTAAAAACAAAAGTTCAGGATAGGAAAAAAAAAGAGGAAAAGCTTTTCAACAATAAATTTGCACATTCAACTATTTCAAGTTTAAGAGCATCTTTTAAGAGTAGCACATACTTGGTCTTATAACAAACAATGTATCCAAAAGTAACAATAAGACTTCCAAAAACAGCACAACTTTCATGGGTTGAATGTTTGGCAATATCATAAATCACTTCATGAAGATTCAGTGTGTGGACTAGTACAGTAAAAAAGCTTGAATTCTACAATGAAAAGAATATTTTACACAGGTCATGATGTAGTTTTTTTGTTGTTGCTGAAAGAATCAAACGTCGTTTAACTGAAACCTTTAAAAAGTGTTTGTGATGTATGCGATGTTCCTAAAAGTCCACTGGTAGAAGCCTGGTTCAGCCATGTTCTTCAACGTTCGGACTAAAAGATCGGTAAACCTGCAACACGCAGTCGTCACCTTGAGCAGCCGCAGTCTAAATCCCACATTATTCTGGTCCAACAAACCCCCTGATGTCTGCTGCATGTTTAGGGTCCTGAACATTCACTGGATACAACTTAAAATACCTTTAAGCCATCTTTAAGATTGAACAGAAAACATTTTTTAGCTTAGATTTCTTTTGGGTCCTTACTCTCCTCTGACGCCTTGTCCACCTTCTGGTGGGCGGAGTCCAGAATGCTGCTGTGCGATTGGTTCAAAGTCGGCTGCTGCTGCTGTTGTCCACTCGTAGCTTGTCTGGTGTCTGACAGCTCGCTTCTTGGAGTCATTCTAAACACAACGGCACAATACAGCTTGATGATGTTTTTTAGACGCATAAATTATAGCTGCTTATATGTCGTTTTTGTTCCTTAACATAGTCAAATTGACCGATTCTCTGCTCAAATACACATTTTTTTTACTGTGGGAATGAAACCTCCAGTGTGTGCTTAATCTGTGGCAGCTTTTTTTTTTTTTTTCAGGGCTGAGGTGTAATCAACGTAAGCATTGAAAGGATTTACATTTTTAATGAAGCCTGTTCCATAAACAGGTGCAGCTATTCCTTCATCGTCTCCTCATTAGTTAGGCCGACAGAAGGCTGATTCCGAGTGCGGCATGTGAATTTGACACGCTGTGAAACGAGATCCTGCTTATAAGCGAGACAGTCCAAAAACTGCGCAGGAGAAAACGACCTTCAGAAATGGGCCAATTATGACGATAAAAAGAAAAGGAAAAAAAAAGGTATTTAACTGATTTAAGGTTTTCCATGTGGCCAATGGCAGATCGGAGATAAGAGGTTCAAGGTCTATGACAGAGAAACACAAAAGCTTCTCTGTGACAACCTACAACTCGGATATCAAAACAATGCCTGCGTTCTGACGCGGCCCTGGTCGCAATGGAAGCAGCGGCGACCACACCGACTGTCAAACTGGATTTCACATCCAAATCCACGTCAACCTGGACTGAATACAGGCTCGGGAGCAGGCAATGCTAACTAAAGAGCTCAATCAATTTTTGAAGCAAGTTCTACTGCTGCTTAAGGTAAGGCAGCACTGACTGCACTTTTCTGATCTATAAAAAGCCTGGCCTGCAAATTCTCATTTTCACCCGTACTGATATTTTTTTGGTCTGAAAAGTCGCTAAGTACATCAAGGAACAGTGCGATAACTTGTCTTAAACGCACTTGTCCGTATGCCAGACTTCTACCGAGGTAGATAAGATCAGTGGATAAAATCAGCTTGTAACGACCGATCACTAGTCCCTCAAAACTAAGGAAATCGTGGTGATTTATTAGTGCACCAGTAGCTTAAGATTCAAGAGATATAAATTCTAAACCTGAAAAAAAACCAATTTAGGTTTGAATCATTTTTTTTTTCTAAACAAGAACATTTACAATTTACTTTCATTGTATATTTTAATTCATATGAAAATGCAATCATTTAGTTGATACATGTTGGACCTAAAAAGGGCCAGTAGTTGTTTTATGAACTTTTGTCACATTTGCCTGCAGAAAAACCTATGAACAAAGCTAAGAGTCTGCACTTTACCTCTACATAACTAGTTAAAGGGTTAAAATTTAAATACTGTGGTGAAATAAAAAAGATCTCAAGAAACTATGAGTTTGTAAAAAGTGTTTAGTCTTAAATAAAAGAAAGAAAAAAACCTCTTACCTGCCGTCTGCTCCTCTGTTCATGCTCTCCGAGCGGCTGCTGACCTTGCTGGAGCTCCCACCTTTGCTGCGCCTCTCCCCGCCCTCTCGCTCCCTCTCTCGCTCCCTCCTGGAGCTTCGGCCGGAGGCGCCGCGCTCCAGGTGCTCCCTGGCGGAGGTCTCAGACAGGGAGCTCCTCATGTGCGGCTCGTGGTTGCCAAACGCAGAGGAGCCTTGATGCGTGGCGCTCGCGGGAGAGACGGCGGTGCTCGTGCCCATAGACTTGGAGATGACTTTGAGCTTGTGGGACGTGGGTTTGTAGTGCTTCTTCTTGTGCTGGACGCGGCTGTTGTGCTTCAGGAAGAACTCGCAGGACTCCTGGAGGACCCGGCGGCTCTCGCTGATGGGGCTGTGGATCAAAGATGAGACCCGTTAGCGCGTGACACGGCAGCGCTGCTTCTGGTGCGGTCGCTACGTCAGAGATTGCAAGAGCCTTACTCTCTTTTGCGATTTCGTTTGAAAAAGTAGGCCCACTCAGAGCAGGTCTTTTTGCTGCTGACCCAGAACACGGCAGATATCCCGACCACCAGCGTCATCAAGTATTTCACAAGAAACAAAGAGAGGTCGGGACGGCTGAGCTCCGTGACCTGAAACACAGAAAAACACGAATGCTAACGAGATCCTTGTGATCTGGGCAAATTATGTTCATTATGAAATCCAATTTGAGGCTAAAACTGGCATTTGTCAAGAGACTAAGTTGATTTTGACAAACTGGTGCGGGTAAAGAAAGCATTATTGTGCCACTTTTTTTTTATTCGACTAAGCCATCATGATGTAATTCCAATAGACAAAGTCCAAATAGTTTAAACTTATGTGTAGAAACTGGTCTCCTTGGACAATGTACAGCTGACTCATCAAGAGGTCATCACACAGTTCATCAAAAGTTGAGTTTGCTTTCCGAAGTGTTGAATCTACAGTTCTTCTGTAAAAATAGCTGACCAGTTCCCCAAAAACTGCATTCAAACATAAATGATCTCTAATTTTTAATGACTTACTGTGTCCACAGACTTTTTCATGTGTGATTTCAACTGCACTTCTTATTTAATGGAAACACCACAATTCTCAAATTGTGTTTTTGTGAAAAATTAATTGAATATTGAAAAGGTTTTGCGGGCATTTATAATGGAAACACAGCCACTCTCTGATTTTCCGATCTATACACAGGTAGATAAGATCAGGGCCCCTGTTTGACAGTGAATGATGGAAGCAGCCACAGATACCTTGTAGGAGCAGGGGATGCTGTACTCTTGACACCTGTCATTGACCCAGGTGTTCTCCCAGGAGCTGCGGTGACTCTGCTCGTAGGTGTAGCAGGCTAACAGGGTGACCAGCGGGACCAGGTAGAGGCAGCTGAACACGCCGATCCGGATCATGAACTTCTTGAGCTTCTCTTGGTTGCGCTCGTCGTGCTGGATCACCTGCCTGACGTGGTTGAGAGAGACGAT